TTAAAAAATTACTTATTTTATTTTTTTTTAATTCTAACAAAATTTCCTCTTTCATTTGGTACTCATATTTTTATTCTAAATTGCATTGAATTTTTGGAATGAATCATATCTTTGAAATTACAAAATCCTTTAAATTAAATCCTGACGTCAGAGAGAAAAAATGAAAAAACGCCACTTTAAATAAATAAGTAGGTTTCAAATCCAATTATTTATTATTTATTTTATGGTAGGGGAGCTTCTCAAACAATATAGAAGCAATTTTTTCGATTTAATTTGTTGAAAAGTAATGAATATCTAAATCCCGAGACCAATCCCGGGATCCCGGAATTGTGATAACAACATCCCGAAAATACCGAGATCGTAAAAAGCGAAAAAATTAACATCCCTAGTAGTCACGTACGGAAGTCTAACAGACCGACTCGAAAATGAATGGCGCGTCTGTTTCGTTGGTTGGTAATGAAACACCCGAGCCGGAGGATGCCCCCGTAAGCATGAAGGTTTAATCCGTCCCTTCGGACATTTACAATACTGCTGGTCCTGCCTCGAGCGGTGGAAGAGAGGCTCTTATAGTGAGGGCGAAAGAGTGCTGAAGATGGTTTTAGGGATATTCTTCTAATCAATCTTCGGCCCCTTAAGGCGGCGTCCGCCCACCCTTTAATCCACCTTGAGCAAGGTGGAATGGCTGTAGTCCTGAACCAAGAGTCGTGGTTGAGCAGCTGCAGTAAGGTTTGTGGTATTGGGACTACAAACTGGTGGTGTACCGGAACACAGGTAAACCTCGATCATGTATGCTCGTCAGAAAGGAACCTAGACCTTTTATCGTGCTTCTTTTCAGCGATGTAGACAATGTGACCGTGAACCTGGTTGATCTCCACTTATGGGCAGCATCAGAACGAGGTGGAGCTCACTTCGTTGTTGCTGAGGAATGCTGTAGCAAAAGCTAGACGCAGGACGGCCTGTGTCGTTATTGGGTGTGATGCTAACTCCCACAAAACATCGGATATTAATATTAGGGGTGAGTTACTCTTCAACTTTATACTAATTAGGTTTATGGGCAACGGCGCTACTTTTGTAACAGCTTGAAGGGGAGAGGCCTTAGATATCACTCTGGACCACTCCATTTTGAACGAAGGGCAGCATAAAAAATATCCTTTCAGGTGTCTGAGAAGAACCAACTGGAACCGATGTATATTTCAGAAGCCTGCTGAATATACTTCCGGTTGCACCTGCGAGGGGCGAAATCTTAGCTGAAAGTTCAGTCCACGGATCAATTGGTGAGTTCACCACATCATCTAAGAGCGCAATTTAAATCTCTTGTCGCCTTAGTCACCACAAACGAAAGAGCAACCCGCTCTTGCGGTCAGTGGAGCTCTCTGACCTTAAGGCCTCGAGCATAGGTCTTTTCATCAAGGCCGGGAAGAGTAATTGAGTCTCTTATTGGGCACTGTATAAGATTGTACTTGGGATATATAAGAGATTAGAAAAAAAGAAATTCCAGGAAGTCGTTCTGTAAAAGCGTGGATGGTGATCAGGTAACCTCCAGATTAATGCGCGTCCTCTCTAAGAATACATCGAAGACGAGCATCGAAACGAGGCTCTGAGCAGCGGGGAGTCCCTTCGTATGCTCCTCGATGTTCACTTTCTGAGCAACCCGGATCCTGGAAGGATCCGTTTCGAAGCTCAGAGCTAACTAACAATCTACTACGAAATTTTGATCGACGACCGACTTCTTTCGGCTCTTGACTCATCCGGGCACTTTATGGATCCGGGCTCGGACGGTTGAATATCAGCTCAACTGCAGAAGGCTGCGGATGTGTTGTGCCTCTGGTTGATGCCTATCTTCGCGAGCTGCCTGACTAGTGGTCATTTTCTGAAGCTTTGGAGGATAGTCAGAGTTATTTTTATTAACAAGGCAGAAAAATTCTATCAGGTATCAGCCAGGAGCTTTAGGCCGATAAGTCTCTCTGCGTATCTTTTGAGCTGCGCTGGATGTGAACTCTAGCAAATGAAGTTTGTTCTTTTTACTATATAGAAGATATAAATTACCTGTTTGCGTCTTCTCTCAATGGGAAATCTTCCGTTAAGGCTCTCTGACAGGGTGAAGTAGTTGGGCTTCATCCTGGAGAGCAGGTTTTTCTGCTTAAGTAGGGGAATGGGTCAAGAAAGCAACAATAGCCTTAAATTGTTGTAGAGGGGTTATTGGCAAGCGCTGGGATCTCTCGCCAAAAGGAGTTCATTGGCTTCATCGTCAAACAGCTAAAAGAGTGCAAAGAGCTTACATTATTGGGATCAGTGGAGCACTTCTAAGCACACCTACCTCGGCGCTTAGTGATATGCCTAAATTGTTGTGCCCATAGATTTGGCGGGCAAAGCTGTAGCTGCACGCGAGCAGTAAGGCTTAGTGGGATGAGCTTCAAGTTCGCCTCGAGCAGTGGACAGTATTCTAAAAAAGCTTTGAGTTCCTACCGACTCGGACAGACCACTACACGTCGGTTCTGGATCCCAACGGATTGAGAGGACTGGGAATATGGGCCCATTTAACTTTTCTACGGATGGATCGAAGCTTAATGGGAAGGTTGGTGCGGTTGTATTCCGCAAAGAACTCTCCATTAACGTAAAATTTAAGCTACGGGATCACTGTAGCGTTTTCCAAGCAGAAGTATCCTTAAAAAATTAGCGGATTGGTTTCTCTGAAGGAGATAGCCAAGCAGACATCAGTTGATGGTTCGTTCGGGAACTGTGAAGGATGGTTTGACCTCCTTATCGACCGCATCGGCTTATTACGCTATCAATCTTATTTAGATTCAAAGTCACAGCAAAATCGCAGGAAACTTCATGGCTGATGAGCTGGCAAGGCAGGGAACCTTTGAGGAAGAACTCCCGGGTAGAGTAAGTCTGGGTACTCCCTTCAACTCTTGTGGTCTACTTTTGAACAGATTGGCTTTTGGTCAGCTGAGCGAAGACCTTGCAAAGCAAAGTGGCTAAAGTTTTCTGGCCACGTGAATACCGGATGCGGTCCAGGAATCTCTTAGGTCTTAGCAAGTTGCACGTGTCGCTACTGGTGGGAGTTCTAACGGGTCATTGCGTGATGACCCATACTGCGCCAGCTGTTTGGATAAGGTGGAATCATCTCAATACCTGCTGTTCTGGTGTGCTGCCTTTGTAAGCCTTGGGTCGCATTTTCTACACTCCCAATGAGCTTTTGGGAATGGATATACATACGTAAGCCGCTTGAGGAGCTTCGTGACCAGCGTGACCTCCCGCTCTGTTTCTACCCTCCCCCACCCTTCCGACTTGCCTATGACTTTCCTCTTCTTTCTTCGGATCAATTTTTCAGTGCAAGTTTAAACTTAGATCACGTAAACTGCGTGTTTAACCCAGCCTGTTCGAGCGTTTAAACTTGGCTCTTGAGGGCAACGCAATGGATAGCTTGATCCGTGTCTAAGTGCGCTTTCACCTACGGAGGTGGCCCTTCTACCTGGCCTTACGTAGAGACTTTTGTGGGCTTTTTCGGGGAGTTAATTTTGGGATTTTCAAGTGTTTTATTTTCTATAATATTTCGGTATTTTTTAGTCTTTTCGGTATTCTTCGTGTTAAAAAGTTCTAAGAATCCATGGAATTTTATGAGTATCCCTATAGTGTAAACAAAAATGTTTAACGTTAGTTTCCGATTTAAAAGCATACCTACATTAGGGTGGTCCAACGTTTTTTTTGTTCAGCTACCCTTCAGGAATGAAGAATTTCGAAAACGGAGACCTGTATTTTTTATGTTGAAGTCGGTTAATATTGAACCATGTCGCCGGGGCTTGGAAGTGTAACATATATCTTATATGGCAAAAATAAATGTTTTCGTATCATTGCTATAAAATCGTTTAATTAAAATATTTTTTGATCGGATAGGATATGTTTTCTTCAGAGATCTTCAAAACAAAAAATATATACACATTTAACTTTAAATATTTATAAAAATCTTTTCTCCATATAAAGTATGTATATAGAAGACCTCAAGGGCGGCACAGTTAAATCTTAACCGATATCAAAATAAAAAATGGATCTCCTTTTTTTTAATTATTCAGTTCTGGGGATAGAAATTTCCAAAAAGTTGATTTTCCTGTGTATTTTTGGAGCAGCCTAACGGCATATTAAGCTCCCAAAACTACTGGACCGACATCAATGATTTTTTTTTGTGGTTTTGATGGATTTTATATCTATTTACATATATGTACATATACATACATACATATTAAAATCTATATAATTTTCTTCATATGTTCCAAGAATAAATGCATTAACCTATTTTTTACGATTTTTGAAAAAATTTTTCCAGCAAAACGCAACATTTCCATACTTACATTTAAATGGAAAATGAGTTTTTATTTTCTGTCAACTTTCATATATTAAAAAAATTAAAATAATTTTTTACTTAAATTGCTTTCGTGAAATTGGCTGTTATAAATTCCTACAGAGTAAAATTTAAATTGATAATGGCGGTTTTTTTGTAAACTTTATTGCAAAACGGTGTAGATATGTTAAGGCTCTGTCTCATTAAGCTTTCGCAGCTCTGATGCTGATTCCAGTTTTTGTTGTGATGTGGATAGGCCAACGATGGATACACAAGGCAGCGACCGTACAAAAAAAAATGCAGCGATTTAGAAATTGAGAAATATTATCCGCTACCCCTTATACCGAGACAAGAGGATCATTTAATTTGGCAATTATGTTGAAAATAGAAATAGATTTTTACCTGATAATTCGGAAATGCTTTTTTTCCTAATTAAAAATATTAAAATTGTTTACTTTAATTACTAATGTTACCTAACGTTAAAGTAGATTATAAAAATGCAAAGCAAAAATAAATTTCTGAACTAGATTTTTAAATTGATTATTTTGAATCGAAGCCGTTTTTCTGTTATCACAGACCGGATAAGCCGGATTCCGGATATCTACCGGATACCCGGCACATCCCTAATAATAATGTATACGAAAAAAGTGGATATTCATTCAAATTCAAATGGGTATATTAGTGATTGTTACCAAAAGGCCCAGCACTTACAAAATCAGGTAGGTTCTGCAATTCAGTCGCGAGGAATTCCCACTCCGGCCAATTAGAGTTCACAGTGAATTTTGTTGAAATTCACTCGGAAGGGAATTGCAGAACCGGCCTGAATGTCGAGCTGGTAAATTGTGAATCTATTGGACAACTAATAAAAAAGTTATTTTTTGGATTTAAAAAATATATATACATATAATTTTTAGTTTTGTGGGACCAAATTTTTTAACTTCGAAGCTAAAAAGGACAATTTTAAGATTTTGTTATTTGCTCGTTGTTTTACTAAAGTATGCTAAGAATCAAAATTTATCTAAAAAAAAAGCTAAATTCAATTGAATAATATTGTAGTCCAGGTTCAAATTCTACAAAACCTTTAAGCATCGGTAATCGGTTTATTGATCTGTGTTGTTAGTAAAAATCATAGTAGTGGTATTCACCAAAGTGAGCAAGGGGCCTGGCAGTTTGACAAAGGAGCAGAGTAGCTCAAGCAATGACTGTTCTCAATAGTCAGCCACTTGCTCAATTTGGTGAATGCCGCAAGTGAAATAAACACTATTATTACACTATGAATAAAATAATGAAATTTGGCTTCTAATTTTGTAAGTTGGATATACATATATTTACTCTTACACTTATTAGGTGAAAACATAAGGTAACCTAGGTCACATAGTGCCGATTATCGGGGAATTAGCCTTAATTATAATCTATTGTATGTATATATTTTTAGACGGGCTCATACTTAGTAATATTATTGGTATTGGCCTATTTCCCAAAAAATATTACTTTTCGTATACTCTAAATAATAATATTGATTTTTTTTTTTTTAATTCTAATATTGACTACAAATCCATACTGATATCCATTACAACATTACTATCAGACTTATCTGGCGGGTTTGTGGTAACATCCTCTTCGTCAAATTTCAACTTCATGCAATTGAATTTTGCTGGTGACTCTTCAATGGTTGGTAGACGTTTTGATGCCGACTTTGTCGATGATGATGTGAGTCCGCTAAAATCTCTACCACATATCTCATCTATTACGGTTTCTTCATTCATAAGATCTTCTATGCATGTTTTCAATATAGTTGTAGTAACAATGCAATCACGATTAATAGCCAAACTCTTATGGAAGTAAATAATAGCTTCCTCAAGGTTACCCATGAGTGCGTGCACAAAACCCATTGCTGTATAGGTTTGTGGACTTTGAGGCTTAAGCAAAAGTGCCTGTAAGGTAATTGAAAATTATGGTTAATAATTTATTAATTAAAATTAATTGGGAGTTTTCGGTAAACACTTAAAGAAATCCTCTAAACAAAAAACTTGTTTCATAAAGATTTTGCCAATTTAGTAAGTTTCGAGCTTATCGGTATTTTATTGACGCTTCTCTTTGAGGAAATTCGCTTAATACTATGTACATACTTACATATTGGTGATAAGTTAAAGCTTCTTTATACTTCTTTCGCTTGCGACAACAATGGCCAAGATTATTGAATAAGGGTTCCCAACGCGCAGAGAGTTCCTCTTTATTTTCTTTAGCGCGTGCTCTAACAATTTCAGCAGTACGTAAAAATACTTCTTCAGCACTTTTGTAACTATTGTCAATTATTCCAAAGATAGTAGCATTATTTCTTCAGTATTTATAATTCTACACAACAGGTAACTCACTATTCATATTCATATTTGATAACTCCCAATTCATGCAGCACAAAGACATCTAATGGCGCTATAGACATAGCTTGAAAGAAAAACTTTTCTGCCAGCTCGAGATTTTTCGTAAGTCCACATTCGACACCAATATAGAGAAGTGGTAGATGACAACCACGCATCAGTTGTGTTGCTTTGAAATATGCAGCCATAGCCTGCCAATTTGGGTTTCAATTTTTATTCGATGTAATTTTTTGTTTAATGAAGTAATGATACAAAACCTGATCATGCTCATTCTCTTTTGCAAAGGAATGTCCATAGGCTAACCATGCGGGCCCATACAGGCGATCAAGTGAAGTCGCTTTAGAAAGGTATCTGCGCGCCGGATCACTCTTGCCAATCAAATCGTAGTAGCAACCAACTGCATACCATGATATGGCTTTATCAGGATAACGATCGACTAGTTTGTGAGCGACATAGAAGAGCTCTGTGAAAATATGGACAAAGCATTCCATCATAACAAATTCAAACATATTAGAGCTTCTAAAATTTGAAAATCATACTGTACCTTAGTTTATAAAAATAATATTAAGAATAAAGGTTAAATATAACTAAATTAGTATTTTAACAGTATTCAACTCACTGTTATAATCACCGAATTCGACTAAGCATCCAATTTGCAGTGTTAAGCCAGTATTATGATATGGATCCGCTTTAAGTAATCTACAAAGTGAACACAAAATTTAAGTATATTATCCTAACTGTAGTATGTACATATTTTAAAGCATTTTCAACCTACTCTTGCAAGATTTTGAAGCTCTTCTTATACTCGAAATCATAGAATAACTTCTCCGCTTCAGCGGCCATGAGATCAGTGCTTTTTTGTATGCGACTTAAACAAACAGAAACTGGCAAATTATTCTTGTTATCTGCCTCTTTTGTACGGTCTCTTCCTGGCGTTTCGAAATGCGAACGATTTGACTCATTAATGAGAGATGAAGCGCGTGTGAGGCTTATTTGTAAAGAAAAGGGCGAGTTCTTGAGATCCGCAAGCACCCTTAAAAAAATAATAATAGCATTATTATTGACCAATTCAAGTACTTTATAAACAATTTTGTATTTACTTGTTTGCAGGAGACATAATCTGTGGAGCCATATACTTTGAGAGTACATTCTTGTGCAGATGCGCATCGGACGCTTGAGTTTTTTTAATTTTCTCGTTTAAGTCTTTGATAGTCTGATCCCCAGTCGACTATTAAAAAAAAAACTGTATTGTAAGTCCCCAAACAATACGTATTTATTGTTATACTACTTACTGGATCAATGGATTCGTAATACTTTTTCAGCTTTGACTCATATAATTTTTTAATGAACTTGGCATCCGTTTCACTCGAGTGCTGGACAAGCGGCAAATGTTGCATTAATTCTTTTTCTAGAAATATTTTTTTTTTTATTATTTCCTTAAATCTTACATGCAATTAAGGTCTCACCTTCCCAAGCCATCAGCATTTCATGCTGTACTAACGCTTCGAGCGCCTCAAAGCAATATGCGGATTTATGTAGCGCTTGCACATAGTAATCCATGGCTAAGCCACGATTATCTAATGCCTCGTAGATTTTGCCTTTTATAAAACTTATTGATGCCATAACTTCCTATAAGGAGAACCAGAATGAAGCTATGGTTAAACTTACTAAAATTGCAATTGCAAGCATATTTACATTTTTATTCGTCTCCTCTGCATTGAGCGTAGAGTGACAGCCCAATGCCGCACTGTCTAAAGGCTGACTTATTAAAGATGATGCCAAAAACTCGATGTCTATGGTGTTTATAACACTCACAGCTTCATTGAGCTCTTTTGCTTCGTATAAGCTTTCCAGCAACAAGTTATAGCTGGATACGTGCGATTTCTCCAGTTCGAAAAGTCGTATGAGATGTGCAGCGCGATGATATTCCTTTAGCAAAAACATGCAATGCGCCTGGCAATAAACATCCTTGGGATCATTCTGGCTAAGCACACAAACCTTCTCAGCCCAGAAGAGTGCCGTCTGGTATCGGCGCTATAATTGGAAAGAAATACATAAATATTAAAATTTGGTTTTTATATGCTCTCACGAAGCTCGCTTACCATGTCGATGAAGATTTTTACCAACTTTCGATAGTGTGTTACATCGATTACTCCATTATCTACAGCGTCTTCGGCGCTTTCGTTTTTCATTTCGCTATCACCCGTCATAAATATATAGTATTTATTTCTTATTTAAGTGGAGAATCAAAGAAAAAATCGTTTCAATCCTGCGAACAAATTTATGGGAAAATCAACAACTCTCATTTGACAGCAAAACAGCTGACTGATATGCCGGCTGAGAAGAAGAAGACCTCACTAGATCACAATTAAAGTAACAAGCTGCCATACTTGAAAAACAATTGCAAAGACATAAGTACGTGAATCAATAAGAAGCGACAACCGTCGTACAGTCTTACGACTACGTTCTAAGATATAAATAACTTTCGTTGGTTTCGATTTTTTTGTTATTAATTTATACTTTTTGACATATTAAATAGGTCATTAAGCGGCATCCATCCTCTTTCGTTTTTATTACCATTGCTTTCCTTCTTTAAAACAGCATACGTCTTTTGCTGAAATTAGTTTAGAACGTAAACTCGCGTTTAGAAACGTAAACCCAAATCAGTTGACACGATCTATGTACATTAAGCAGGCTATAAACGGGCAAGAAATGGAAAAGATCGGTTGAAATTTCGAAAGATTGGTACGAGTGCGGCGTGGTTTGCGAACCGATCGAAAGTTGACAAAAGTTTCTATAAACTTTCGATCCGTTGTGCGTGTGTGGCGAAGTTGACGTGTTTTGTCATGTCTTTCGAGAATCGGAAGTGTGCACAAGAGCGGCAGATGATTAAGATTAAGCAAAACTTTTATTAAGGAACTAATAATAATACATAATAATAAAATGGCGCTTACACATATGTTAGTGTTTGGCCGAGCTTCTCTTCCACTACGCTCGTGCCTGCCGAGGGACGACCGCTGTTAAGAAAAAAACCTTTTTGCTATATTTTTTGGAATGTTGCTTTGACCAGGGCTTGAACCCAGGCGTTGCGGAGTGGAAGCGCGCACTGCTTATCACTACACCACAGCGGCCGACAAGGAACTAATAGAGTGGTTTAAATAGAGTTTAATATATAATCGGAAAACTTGGCCCGATCCCAGGCCTTTGCGGAGAGGCTATGCGCACTTCTAACCACTGCACCACAGCGGCTGTAGGACCCATTATAGCGGTTAAAAACTTGCAAAAAACAAGTAAAGAAGGATATGTTCGGGCAAAACCGAATTTTATATACCCAGCGCAGGTATCAACTATTGTCGTTCCAACTTTCTTTAAACTACCTAAATGCCTATAATAGTCTTATTTATTGTTGAGAGATTGTTGTAAGTACTAACTTGGAGTAAATCAACATCCTCAGTTATCGAAATATCGGAGTTTTCGTACATCAGAAAATTGCCGTTATATGGGAAGCCGGAACAATTTTAGTCCGATTTGAATAATTTTCAACGAATTGTTTTTCGTACTAAGGCTATTAAGTACACCAAGTTTGGTAAAAATAGATAAATTGGTTACCGAGATACACATTTGTGTGTCATAAGTGGGCGGCAGCACGCCCAAAATCCAAAAACTTATAATAACCAAATTTTTCGCTCAGTGGTCATCGCAATGATCGATTTTGGGTCATTTATCTTCGATAGTTACTGATTTATCGCAGTTTTCGGGTTTCTGTAGATTACAGCTATATGGGAGGTGGGCGCGGCTATTGTCCGATTTGAATGATTTTCCACAAATTTCTTAGCTGGAGTCTAGCAAAGGCTCGTACCGAGTTTTGTAAGGATTGGCGATGCGGCTACTAAGATACAGTAGCGGGGTCACGCCCCTTTTCCACAAATTTCATAATAATATTATTTTGTACCAAAATTATACTTCACATACTAATTTTCATCAGTTTGGATCAAATATTTACTGAAATATCAGTGCATTTTTACGAAAATACCGTTATATGAGAAGGGGGCGTGGTTACATTCCGATTTCGCCCATTTTCAATAGCAACCTACCTTGGATAAAGGGCAGCCTATATACCAAATTTCGTTGAGATATATCAAATTTTGGTCGAGTTGTCGTGTACACGGGCACGATCCGATCATTTATGTATACATTTGTCTATATCTATCCCGATTTCTTTAGGCTGTTACAAACAGCCGTTATGCGAACAAAGTTATAATACCCTGTACACAAGTGCGCTCGGGTATAATAAACCTCCAAAATGGCGAAGATTTTATTCGGTCTCTTTGATAAATAGATGAAGAACAGATATACATAACAAAAACATTACAGGCGTCTATTTACTTTTCTAAAACTTAGAAAATCGTTTGTTCTTGTAAAAATCGAATGCTGTAAAGTCTAATGACTGGAGTAAGGTAAAAAAATTTTAAGAAAATAAATAAATTTTCAGAACAAGAAATTTATCTTGGAACTTTCTTTGAGTAAAAAAAGTAATGGTTATAACATATCTGCTTAATTTTTTCGTTAAAATTAATAGTTTTGGTTCGGTTCCAGATAGGGATGTGCCGGGTATCCGGTAGATATCCGGAATCCGGCCTATCCGGCCGTTTTTTGGTTATCCGGTTATCCGACCGGATACTGGCTAATATCCGGCCGGATTCCGGATATCGATTATAGAAGATTCAATTTAAAAATTTAACCCAGATTTTGTATTTTTGTAATCCAATTTAATAGTATCTAATTTGTAATCAAAGTTAACAATTTGTATATTTTTCATTATGAAAAGAAGCATTTCCGCATTATCGGGCAACAACCTCTTTCTATTTTCAACATAAATGTTACCCGATGCACTAAATACCCTTTTGCGAGTTCACTGAGGAAGGTGGCGCGCAGAGATACTGCATTGCCAGTGTAAACAAATTTGGAAATTCTTTGCGGCTATACTTCCACCAAGTTAAGGGATCTTCTTGTCTGGATATAAGAGGTAGCTGCAAATATTTCTCTATTTCTAGTTCATAAATCGCTGCCTTTTTTCTTGTAAGTTCGCTGCCTTGTCTACCAATCGTTTGGCTAACCATATCACTAGAAACACTAGAATCAGCATCAGAGCCGTTGGCGATTTCCTCAAAGCATTGCCAAATATCCTCGTGAGCTCGATCTTCGATGGAAGCTTTCACTATAGTTCGGCATTTTTCATATGATTCAACTGGTTCCTCCATGCTAACTGATTTATAATTTCGAATTAGTTCATCAACAACCCAGTTTTTAGCTTTATTGGCGTCAGAAAAAAAACGAGTTTTGAAACGGTGCGAATCTGTTCCGAAAAAATTACAAAAATGCCGCAACTATTTATTGGAACATTCACAGCTCTTCATTTCGTCGTGCCGAAATTGCAGACCTACGCGTTCGGAAACGAAAAAGGTTAATAGCCGGGTTCTGTATAATTTAAACAAAAATTAATGTAAGAAAACAAAACATCTTGATTGTTCAAAAGAAAAGAATTTGATGAAGATTGTATTTGTTTGTTTATAAGATGCCATTTTTCACTGCGATAGCATCGCACGGATGTGTGCGGAATTGTGTTTTCGAAATGGTAAATTCTGTAGCATCAGAAACGGTGCGGAGGTCGAGGTGAACTCGAGCCGGCAAAAAAACAATATTGTGAAATTTATTAAGGGCAGCAGTCTACCGGATATCCGATCGGATTTGTTATTTTTTACAGGATATCCGGAATCCGGTTATCCGGCAAAATCTATATCCGGCACATCCCTAGTTCCAGACAATCCAGACCTAATCGGGTTGTGTCGTTCCAGGCCATTCCAGGCCGGACCTTACTAATTTTTTCTATGTGCATATTCGTGCGTGTTTACGAATACATATGTATGTGCATATCGTCACCTGAAATGCAAAACGACGTAACAATATCGTAACTGAAATGCAAAAAGTCGTGACTAATATTTTTAATTTGGTTCACAAAATGATGTGGGAGTTTTCTTTAATTTATTTTTTATTGAATTTTGAATTTTTTATTAGTTACAAATTTTTGTATTTCAGCGACGATGTTTGTTACGTCTTTTTGCATTTCAGGTGACGATATGTGTTTTACGCTCGTGCCGGGGCGGCCGGGCCGGGCCGGAAAAAACATAAGTCCCCTGTAAACCAAAAGAAATCTTTAGGAGTATCTCATTTGTGCAACGATTTATTTACGAATTTTCAAAAGAAATTATATGAAGAGGTTGACACGAGCTCGTAAAGAAATTTCTGTACGATAATTAAAGAAAATTCTGAAAAAAATTCTGCAAGAAATTCACCACATAGCAGCATTACTTTCATTGTTTTACCGATTTTCTTCCAAAATTTCGTAAAATGATCGAAGTGTGCACAATTTATTTCATTTTAGAAAATTCGGCAAAAAATCGGATGAGATATTTACGAATTCTTTAAAATTTCTCTACCATTTAGAATACTCTGAATAAATGGTCTGCAGGGTCCCCCCCCTTTGTGTGTACCCAACAAACAATTAGGTTTGAGCTCAACTTTAGGTTAAGTTGAGAACTAAGGTATTTTTCAAATCTCCAACGTTTTTTCTCAACAGTACCTCCAGTGAAGGATTATAGCGATCTCACCAAAAAGCACATTTTTCTTCGTATGAAAATTGGGCGGTTTCTCAAGTTTAGAAAATGCTAGTTCTCAACTTGAACTCCAATGTGATTCTCCAATTGATCTTAAACTTATCAATTCTTAAAATGCGACTTCGTCGTAATTTGAATTATTTGTAACCGACTTCAAAAAAGGAGGAGGTTATCTAAGCATTCGTTGGAAATTTTTTTTTCTACGTACATATGTTACAGCATAACCGATTTCTGTAGTTCTTTTTTAAAGGAAAGGTGGTTCCCCAGAGGTGGTCCCATCCTAATTTGATTTAGATCCGATTATTGGATCATGAAGAAATTAACGATAATCTTAAAGTTTTACATGAGAATTGACGTTTTTTGCTAAAAAAATGACTTGTTCATTTAATTCAGAGCTGCTCACTCCATAAGCACTTGTAGCACATTTGATTTTGTTTTGCCCTGAAGTATAGGCACATTCGTCGCCTGGGTAAAGAATGTCGTAAGCGCAATTTTGACGATTTTAAGTTCTAGAAGCAGTTATATATTTTGAAATAAGGTCTTTCGATTGGTGTCATCAGTTTTTGGATAACTCCTTTTGTTTCCGAGATATTGAGTAAAAAGTGTCGTTAATTTAGTAGAAATTTTGATCATATTTTGTCGTATTGTGGACAAATGATTAAAAATAATTAACTTATTGTTATTAAAAATTAAATAATTTAAAAATTTTTTGAACTAGTAACATTTTGAGAGACTTTGGAGAAAATTTATCTTCGCGTTATTAAGAAATTGCATTCCAAACTTCAAACGCGATTTCCCGCAATCTGCCGGAATTAACTTAGGACAATCTTTTACCCAGGCGACGATATATAAATTTACAATTTAAATATAAAAAAAAATTGTAATCGCCCTCCGGTATGCCCTGTCATATAAACACAATTCATATGAAAGTGCCTGAGTCTCATATGGAAGAGCAAAGCAAACGCCCTCCCATATGAAGCTCAGCCAGTCCACTAAATTGTACAAATTTACACAAACAAATATAGAATGAAAAAACAATAAAAAATATGTCAGCACTGAAAAAAATTTATATTATAAATTGATCTAATAATCATATATACTGAAAGTGAACACGAAGTTTATTGAAAAAAATACACGACGCTCATTGAAGTGTGCAAGCACTAGATCCTTTTGCAAAAATTTTTGGTGCAAAGCGTTGTGTATCGTGTGCTTTGTAATCATTAAACGAATGACGAAATATTACTTGTCACGCCATTGTGCAACTTGCCATCAAAACTTTTTTGGGAAATTTCAAAGGGGATATAGAATTCAATGTAAATCCCTGGGAGTAACACATCGCGTTAAGTTGATAGGATTGCAGACATTTTTATAAGGTCAGATTGCAGAAAAAAGATATTTCGCGACTTTGAGGGAAAATGTCAAGAAATATTCGTCAAACTTCGCAAAAAAATAAAATAAAATCATAAATTAAGGTTGGAGAATCTCCAATCTCATGTCCACACTAGATTTACCGCCCTATTCCCACACCACTGACAAAATTCATCATATGACTATTGTCACAATTACTGCGCCTAAAACACAATATAAACATTGTATCGTCGTTGTCACTTACTCAGTAGGTCATAACAATAAAACTGACAATTATCATACGACAGCTTAAAATAAATTCGCGGCATAGTATTAGGCGCAGTAGTAAAGGCAATAGTCAGCCGCTGAGTTTTGTCAGTGGTGTGGGAATAGGGCGCTTAAGGTGCCCTCATTAAATTTTATTGCATATTGCTTCAATGGTGCTATCATTTATTAACGCTTTAAAGTGGGACTTTTATAAGCGAAGAGTATCCCAAGGTTACGAACGGAAAAGTAAACACTTAGCTTGAAATATGATGTAAATATATGTAGGGATTCCCCCACTAAATTTTGGAACTTTTCAGCCACTAGGTCGCTATCATTTCTTAACGAACTGTATTATTCCTCATACATATATGTAAATACTCTAATTAGGTTTGTTCGTCGAAAATCCAGCAAGAATTATCCAACACTCAAAATATCAGAGAGTAAGAAAAAATTCTCTCAAATTCTCTCTCATATTGAGAAACTTGCAAATTTCTGCACGAACGCAAATTTGCAGAAATTTGCAAGTTTCGCTGCCAGCTGGCGTCCACGGTTGCATTTCAAACATAAAAAATTTTTATAGAATTTTTAAAATTCTTTCGGATGGCAAAAAACAGGATATACATGTATATTTCTTGTTGTTCTGACTTTCTTTAACATACATTTCAATATCTTCATCGTACTAGCTGTCGGGTTTCTTAAATCGACTCTGGTTGCAATTGCATTCCGATTGCGAATACCATTTTTTCAGCCGAATTAATTTCAAATCATTGGAATTAACTAAATTAATTATATCAACAATTATTTACTTCCTTTTTTCATAAAAAAATCGCTCGTGTTTATAAATTTTTAAATTTAACGAACTAATTTATTCAAATTATTGTAGACAAAAATGCAACCATGCGCCACCACCACATGTTTTTCGTGTTTGCAAATTCTTGCTGGCAAAATTTTTTCCAGCAAGAATTTGCAACTTCTCTCCAAGAGAACTGTCACTTTGCTCTCACAATTTTTGAGTGTTGGATAATTTTTTGGTCTGCACGAACGCGATTTGGGCAAAAATCGTGATAATTCGTACAAATTCGTACAAATTTTTTGCTCGACGAACAAACCTATTGTTAACAATTTTCATTCACTAATCGTACAATAAAAATAAACTTGTATCTTTAGCTTTATTTAAATTGCAAAAAAAAAGTCTCAGTGTACACATAAATTTTGTAGATATATTGTGAGTTCACTTCAATATATGTAAATATTTTGAGCAGGCCTGATCTAAACAATTGTCTTCGAGTCTCTTCTGCAAATCGATAAATTATTTGATTGATGATTTAATTTTTGTTTTCTGTACGAAACCTCTGTGAACGCTAAGCATAACTAAACGTAAATTCAAGTACAGACTAAGAGAAAATATTAAATTATAAAATTAATTTACCTTTTTTTAATTACCTGACTGTTTGTCTAACAAAAGTAAGCTTAAAAGGACGTTCACAGTTGATAAAATTATCGAGGAACAACCAGCAGTTCACCAAAACTTCCGAAATTGATGTGAAGACACCCAAAGTTTTAATTTATTGCATACATTTTTTAAATTGCAAATTGCTTATGAATTCATTGAAAGAAACCTACAATTAAATTTTGGAATTTAGGGGGGTGGGGAGGGTGCGGCTTGCGCCCGCATAGCCCCTACCTGCGTACGTCTATGACGAGAACGTTGAGAATCCCTCAAATATTTTGACCTTATAAAACCAACTTAAATATTATAAGTGTTACAGTACTTTAGGAAAATAAAATTTTCCGATCGATCCACCCGATTGCACATACCACATAATTCGTATAATTAGCGTTTATGAAACAAAAATTAGAATATTTTAGGACAGTATTTTTTTTTTTTTTTTTTAGAAAAAAACCCAACAGCATCCGAAGCCCAGCCTGCGAATCCGCTATATTATGTATTTTGTTGGGAATAATGTTTGAATCATATGATTTTAACAACAAAAATACGCAATGCGAGAATTTACAATACCAACATGTTGCGTGCCAACCAACACATCGAACACACATTCGCTGCCAGCATCCTTACGAGCATCTCACAAAATGCTCCCCCGCCCCCACATGCGCTCCCTTGCATACATCCATACATATGTATGTATGTACATCTGTACACTCTCTCAATGTACTTCGTGCATATGCGCCGCTCCGACCATGATGAAACGCCTTGTGGCGATAGCTCTGGCTTTGGCAGCGATTGTGGCTTCCAACTCGCAGGCATCGACCAGACCGACTCGAATTTTGCCTCGCAGTTACTGATTTTAGTTGGAAGGTGAGGTTTTAATTTTTTAAGCGAACACCGACAAAGACAAAAGTGTTAAAAGTATTTTTTATCAAATACAAATACATAAAAATATAAGAAAAAACTATAAAAAAAATACAAGAAAAGATGCCTCAATAAAAAACTAAAATAGTACGAATTTTTTAAATGAAATTTTTTTCGTTTTAAAAAATCGAATATTGTGAATGTGAGCCGCAATTGCGGAAACGAAGTGCGTTTGATTGGCTGCTTGCTGTGTTAAGTGTTTCACAACTGTGCAAAAATAGTTAGAGTAAAAAAAAATTAGAATTTTTTCTACAAAGTCAAACACGTACACAGGCTGAAGCGAGCGGTAGGCGGTATGTAGGTAGAAATAACGGTGCGTACGCTTCCGTTTTGCATTTGAGTTTGACATTTTAGGCCATTGAATAAGCAAAACGTGCTTCCAACTAACATCACACCTAAGCAGCTACAGAGCAGAGCAACCGCCGCCCCAACAGCAGAGGCAGTAAGGCTGGCATCCAAGCAGCCGTCACGGGAGGAGATCTCAGTACGGCACTTAGACAATACATACACGCTGTGCAAAATTGTGCCGGTCAGGGCGTGCTAAGTTTAGCCTTATCACTCGCATACGCGTGTTTCCTGTGTCTCTTGGCCGTTGCCTTTGCCTGTGCCTGTGCCTGTGCCTGTGCCTGTGCCTGTGCCCGAGACGTTCAACGGAGGTAGTGAACGCGAAAACATATTGGAATTTCGGGTAAGTGCTAAAAAAAATGCTACTAATTACTTTCATTTGCACTTATGTACATACTTACATATTTACATATGGATATGTACTATTATAATTATTAAAGCAAAAAATTAATTGTTGCTGCTTTTTATTCATAGTTATGTAAATTTATAACAGTATTGCAATTGAAGAAATTATCTGCAAATGGCGAAAGCATTCCACGAGTGAAGTTAACAAAACAAAAAAGTAAAAGGCAAGAATTGAAAAAAGTATGGAAAACGGGAGGAGTCGCTTGCGCCTAAGCAATCGTTTTCTATTCGTTGTGGCCCTTAAAACTCAGCTGTTATACCCTTACACGGATCATAAAATTTTAAATACGGATTCAGTGCGTTAAAACTCCGCTGTTTCTAAGTATATGAATTGTTGCATATTTTTATTAAAATAAAGTTTATGCTTCAATAAAACCTTCGAAAATCAGAGTTGCAAACATTGTGCAAAACTTAAGAAAATTCACTAAATTTTCATAAAATTTTTTTACGTTTTTTTATTACATATTTTCGCATAAATATGGGTATGCGACTTTGTAGTTTAATAAATTCTGGTAAATAAAGTTCAAGCGTTGATCCGGATCAACTCGTTAATTCGCAATTATGTGTGGAAATTAACTGCTATTGATACGGATTAAGTCCTCAAAATTAATACGGATCAGGGGAGTTTTCGATGACAACACTGTCCAAAACGGCCAGCTGTTGTCTATTGTACAAGTAATGCTGGATTTACATGAGGCGATTTTCTAGGCGATTCAACTTTGCTCTGGAAAAATCGCTCGTGTAAATAGTGATTCAAAAATCACAGCTTAAGCAAATAAAGAAGCGAGTTTGGCGTCCGCGGTAGGCGAGAAGTGAGAGCTGCGTAATATACATAATTCCTTAGGACCCAGCTTCGATCCTCGGATCGAGCGATTGCAAAAACTATTTTATATATTTTTTAATTTTTTTTTACTTTATTTTATTTTCTCTTGTTTTATTTTATTTCACATTAGTTATTTTGCTATAAGTTCATTTAAATATTTATAAAAAATAAAAATAATCCACAACAACTATAACACTCAAAATTAATATATTCGCCAAACCATTGGCCAAATGGAATCAAACTGCGTATTTAGCTTTTCTCAAGAATTTTTTATTTGAATTTCGAAAAATATGGTTATTTCAAAAAACTATTTAAAAAATTGGCGGTCGCTGTGGTGTATTGCCAAGCATTGCGCACTTCCACTCCGCAGGGTCTAGGTTTTTTCTTAACAGCGGTCGCCCCTTGGCAGGCAATGGCAAACCTACGAGTGTATTTCTGCCATGAAAAACAGCTTCTGATAAAAATACAATCGTCGTTTGGAGTCGATGTAAAACTGTAGATCCCTCCGCTTTGTGCGACAACATCAAGGCGCACGTCACAGATCGGGGGAGAAGCTCGGCCAAACACTAACATATGTGTGCCAATCTATTAATATTATAATTAAAAAAAATTCAGTGCAATGTAGAAAAACAATATGGGTATGAAATTTAAGAGAAAATTCTGTACAATTAAAGCAGATCAAATTTGGATTCGTATTTGTAAGTGTATAAGGACCAATTGGGTTCGAAAATGTTCTTTTAAATATTATCCATCAATATCATTGAAATTTTGCAATATTTATTCTAGAAAAAATTGTATGTTAGGGACTGATATACACTCGACCATATTATCGAATTTTATCCTTCTAACTATATTAGGATAAAAAAATAAACATAATTAAAAGGCATTTTCAATATCTAATCGTCCTTGCGAACCAAAAAATGTTTATTTTTTAAATTCTACAGAACTTTGCCTTTCATTTGGTACCCATACTGTTTTTTGAATGTTTTAAATGATTTTTGAAATTAATCATATCTTTGAACCCACAAAATCCATTTAAAAAATCCTGGGAAAAACTAAAAATGTGGTTTTACTATATTTGGCCCATAGTTTTGTGAGTATATTGATTGCTTCGTGTCTTTCGATTTTTTTTTTTTGTTTTTGTCGCAGGCTATAATTATCTACTTTTAAAAAAATAAAATGAAAGTTCTCCTAGCCGTGGGACTCGAACCCACGACCTCGCGGCTCAGGGTATAATTTTGATCAGATCAACTGCGGCGTTAATCCGGATCCGTTGCCTTAAGGCTTAATGTTGAATTTTGACATTTTCTTCGTTGAAGATGCTGCTAATATTGTTCCAAATAAAGACCGAATCGAGCATATGTAATAAAAAACGTGTCAAAAATCAACGGTAGGTAAGCCTAAGAATTAAATTTAATTCAATAAACAACTAACCGCAAATTTATACTCAAATATACAATAATACTATGTTGAAAGACGAACTATATTTAAAAAAAATATGCAAATTTTATTTATTTGGACACAGCGAAATTTCAACGCGATTAATAAGTGTCCTAATTTTGGTGGCCGCTACTGTATAGATATATTAGTATGTAAATCAATGTGCAGTATTAGAAAAGAGATCAGAACTACTGCCTACTATTACTAGAAATACTTTTTATGGCTATTTACAACTTTTGTTTACATAGCGTTATAGTTTCCTCTCTTTAGGAGAAACTATTTATCACACCACACCGATTTTTAGGCTGTCTAGTTAAAAATTATATCTCTCTAATTAGTGTATTTTATTTTTGTAATCGGAATGAAAAATGGGGTGTAGAAACCCCTAATTATGTATTTACTTATTCCACTTAATCCGCAGAAATGTTGATTTCAGGTAACATCCAGTAACGTGTAACAAAAAAAAAGTTCAAAACCGGTTCAAAAAGTCCCGTTCTAGTAGGAGTTATTGGGTTCAAATGTTATATGAAAAACAGTTGTGACTAAATTCTACTGAAGTCATTTAAAATATAAAATGGCAAGTTTTAAAATTTGATTTTTATCTAAAAGGAAAAACTTTTACGAATTGCGCATCTTTTGTTAATTTTACTACCTTGTAACCGTACCTTAAAGTACTAGAAATTCATACATACATAACTGATGAACACAATAATAGCTGCAAAATTTAAAATGATGGTGTCAGCAACTTATTTCGATCCATTTCAAATAAAAGTTTCAAACTTACACAAAGTTCACAAAAGTTATAAATTAAACAAAAACTTTCATCAAAACTTCAAACTCTTTATTTAGAATTTAAAGAAAATTTTGGAGAATGTATCCAATTTAAAATAAGAAAAAATATATGAAATAAGGTCCGAATATTTATGTGAAATTAAAAAAAAAAGTTTAATAAATTAAAAGAGTTTTATTATAAAAATAAAAAAATATTAAGTTAAAAAGGCAAAGGCATAAAACAGTTTCCTAAAATTAAATGACAAAAAAATTTTCTCTTCAAAATATTAAAATCGGAAAATTAAATTTAAACTAATATCTAATAAACAATAAAATCTAAATTTTAAAGGAAATTAAAGTAAAAAAATAAAAATAAAAATAAAAATAAAATAAAAGTAGACGAAATCTAAAAAAAAAAAAAATATTTTTCTTTTTAAAAGAATAAAATTTAAAAGTTAAAGGAAAATTAAAAGAGGGAAAGGTAAATAGGTTTCAAAAATGAAATGAAATTAAAAAATTAATTTTATTTGTAAAAATTAAAAGAATTTTAAATTAAAAAATGGTTTTGTCTCCTACCCTGTCAGAAGCATCAACAATCAACAGTCAAAAAGAAAAAAAATCAACTTATTTTTCACTTACACGAAAAAACTAACACAAAAATTGTCAGCTAATAATTAGGTCGTATCCAAAGTGTATTAAACAAGGTTTGATTGACAACTCAGTGCGGCACCACTCTCTTAAGGTACTATAATGTCAAAAGATATAAACAAACGATTCAAAATTCATAATTTTTTTAAATTTGACTTTATAGGATGATTTTTCCGAGAGCAATGTCAAATTCAATCACACATTTTGTTAAATACATTTCGATCGTGTCTGATTTGACTGCGAAAACGTACTTTAAGACTATTTCCCTAATTTCTTCGAGACTATAACTGCGACACCGCGGTTGCTATCTGTTCACGAAAGGAATCATAATTGGTTGTTTTGAACGTTTTGCTTTTTTTGTCCAAATAATTTAAATTTGCAATCATGTATAGATATACAGTAGACAGCATCACCAAAAAAAGTTGCGGTTTTCCGCCGGGATTACAAAATTTATTATATTTTAAGACGTCCACCAAAATATTCCGGAAAAATATTAAGATTAAAGCGAGCTGGACCAATTTGAAAATACCTCCAAAAATGGAGTTTTTTTTATGAATAAAAATAGTTTCCTAAAGAACTTTTTGAAAAAAGTCTCCTCAGATGACTGTTGTGATTAGGCTTAAAAAATCTGCATACAAATATTTAAAAATCTTTTCAACGGAATCGTAATAACGAGATTTTTGATGCTGTTTTTTTTTACTTTTTTAAAGATTGATTTACGAAAACCTTAAATAACTGGGCCACAACTATTCTGATTTAGATTTATGGGATCTCGGTAGAAAGGTATTTTCCCACTATTTTTATTTATGTGCAAAAAAAGTCATTCGTGTCCCAATTTTTTTTTTTTTCAAATACCAACACATCTCAATTCAACTTTGAATGATGTTCGTTCATCCTTCCTTTCTCTTTCATCCTTTGAATGAGCTTATTAGCAAATAAATAAAAAGGATGAGAAAATATCTTTCCAATGATACCTCACAAGTCTAAATCGGAAGAGTTTAGGTTCAGGTCTTCAAGTTTTTCTTATACCAATCTTTGAAAAAAGTTAAAAAATAGCATCAAACATCTCATTATTAAACCGTTTTGTCATTTGAGGGGATTTTTTCAAAAAACATCTTTAAGAAACTACTTTTATTCATAAAAAAATCTTCATTTTTGGAGGTGTTTTCAAATCGGTTCAGCTCGCTTAAATCTTAATATTTTTCCGAAATATTTTGGTAGACTCCTTAAAATAAAAAAGATTTTATAATTCCAAT